TATATATATAAAATCACATTTGTTGCTATTACCAACAATGTCTTCAAGAGGATTTTTTGGTCCTGGGAAGCTGTCAACTTCACAGTGGCAGAGGCGAATTAACCAAAACACCGATTTTCACTTACAGTATTTGAACAATCAATACAATCAGTTATTTTTCCTGAAGTGACAGGCTCACTTCATGTTTTAGAAGATGACTTCCAAATACTTAAGACTGACTAATGCTAATTGATCTATTGGAAGTTCTTTTCAAGTAAATATGGTATTTTATGGGGGGGGGGCTGCTCATTCAACCTGAAACTTAAATAATAAAACGAGTTTCCTTGAGGCAACCACCTTCTAGGACACTGCAGAAGTACTGCAGGACACGTTTCAATTTTTCATACAGAATATTAGAAAGAGGTGAATCCAAGGTCAAGATTTTTAAAAATTCGTGTTTTCAACTATTCTGTTAAGCCATTCTCGAGTGAGACTGTCACTTTTCCTTTGCTGCGAGTGGGACAAGTGTGTGGCAAGCTGTTTGCTGTCACTTTCTGCTTCGTGTTCAGGGGCACACTGCTTTATGACCACCACTTTTGCCTCTTCGATGCAAATGTCGGCGCAGTGGAAAATTAAGATCATCCTAATAATGTGGTCGAAAATAGTTTTGAACTTGTCAATCCACTGAAAGGGTCTTCTAGCTTCCATTGATCACATTTTGAAGACCACCACTGGTTTTCAATTCAAAAGAGCCTGCATATTCTTCAATGACCAAGAGAGGAAGTTTACACGGCCCTGGAGCGCGCGCACGCGTGTTTTCTGTTGTCTGTTCCGAGGGAGTTTTGTACCGCTTTGCTTCTCTTTCCTCATAGCCATGCCTACCCCAAATGACAGTAGCTCCTGTCTTGCTTTTTCTCCTGGAAGAAGGAGAAACATCTTTAAAGTTAAAGTATCGGGTGCTGTTGAAGGAGGAAGGAACGGTGTGCTGAACCCTCCCGGAGACGAAAAGCCAGGGACATGTCTTCGACCTCGACTCTGGACGCAGAGTTTGAAAGTTAAGTACCTGCCTCTTGGGGAGCCCCTTTCCGAAAGGAGCGGCAGCACCACGGACAGCGCCAAAGGAGCCCTCTTGCCTGATGACTCCAGTCAGCCAAGGCAGGTTTGGAGGAAGGAGCTGGCGTTGGCTCTACCGAGCTGCACCCCGGGCGGGGGTCGAGCGCACAGCTTGGCTTCCTGCGCACACACCGAGTGGAGTGGGCAGTGTGCTGCCAGCAGGGAGGGAACTGCGGCGGGAGCTACGGTTCTGACGCACCCGCAGCACCCGGGTCCCCAGACGCGCCGCGTCAGCCTGGCGGCTCCCCTGCCTGCGGAGTGTGCCAGCCCGGGGGAGGCTGGCCTCGAGGGGACCCGACAACCATCTCCGCAGCGGAGAGGAGCAGCGTGGGGTAGGTGACCTCTTGGGCGGGTCCTCGTTGCCAGACGCAGCCCCTCGTCACTGCTTTCCTAACGTCTGACCGATTCAGACTGGTCGCGGCTGGCAGCCCAGCCTCCTCTTCAACATCTCCGCCACAACATCTCCCACGGAGGGTCGCTGGAGCACGGGGTGGTGGGAGCCCAATGCCGGGGCACTTCCCAGGCACCCTGCCGCCGGCCAAAGGCGGCAAACGTCAGTGATCGCGGTGCACTGGCCACCCCAGAGTGGTGCTGAAAGCCCGTTCCGCCAGCACCGTGGGCGGGTGTTCTAAGCCAGCCATGGATGTGCCTGGGAACCTAACCGACTTTCCCGTCTCCACTCCTTCGCCCTCGGAGACCAACTGCAGCCTGGGCGCGGAAGATCAGCGCCCCCACCCGCCCCTTCTCTCGGTCTTCGGGGTGCTCGTTCTGACCTTGCTGGGCTCGCTCGTGGCGGCCACGTTCGCCTGGAACCTACTGGTGCTGGCGACCATCCTGAGGGTGCGCACCTTCCACCGTGTGCCGCACAACCTGGTGGCCTCCATGGCCATCTCGGACGTCCTGGTGGCCGCCCTGGTCATGCCTTTGAGCCTGGTGCACGAGCTCTCCGGGCGCCGCTGGCATCTGGGCCGGCGGCTGTGCCAGCTGTGGATCGCTTGCGATGTGCTCTGCTGCACGGCCAGCATCTGGAACGTGACAGCCATCGCGCTGGATCGCTACTGGTCCATCACCCGCCACCTGGAGTACACGCTCCGCGCCCGCCAGCGGGTCTCCAATATCATGATCGCGCTCACCTGGGTCCTCTCGGCGGTCATCTCCCTGGCCCCCTTGCTCTTCGGCTGGGGGGAGACCTACTCGGAGGGCAGCGAGGAGTGCCAGGTGAGCCACGAGCCGTCCTACACCGTGTTTTCCACCGTGGGCGCCTTCTACCTGCCCCTCTGCGTGGTCCTCTTTGTCTACTGGAAGATCTACAAAGCTGCCAAGTTCCGCGTGGGCTCTAGGAAGATCAACAGCGTCTCACCCATGTCCGAAGCTGTGGAGGTGGGTGGTACCGTGCTACTTAAAATCGTTCCCTTGGTTTTGAACAGGCTTTGTTCCAGCACGCCCTTAAACCTTCAGTTGTGTATAAAGTTCATGTCTTTAGTTTTTCAGTTTGGGGGTAGTGGTGGTGGGGTTGTTTCCGGGATGGAGGAGAATGGGGCAGACTGGGAGAGAGAACGATCAGGAATTTGTTTCATGGAGAATCTGCATCACAGAGATAATAATGTCATTTGCCTTCTCTCAGAGGCTGTTTTCATACAGACAGAAGGGGGAGGGTTAGACTAGGTAATTCTACACAGTCTCATTTGGTTCTAAACTTCTCTGGGCCTACAGTACCCTTTAGAACCTCTGCCGAAGGACACTGGATGGATGAACTTGGGGCTTCCTGAGCTGGGAGTCAGCAGGTGCTGAAGGAGGAAAGGATGAGATGGTAAAGTGACTTGGCAGGAATGTTTCCAAGCCAAAGGCAAATCAGATTAGCTTCATGATTTATTGAATTCCCCCAATCCACTTTCTTCTTTGCAAATCACAGCAACTGACTTTGCAAAGGATGATGTCTCCTAGGTGAATGACTGTCAGCCTGCCTTGCTGACCCTAGTCTCACAACGGCTGCATTTGTGCTGTTGCCACTGCCTGGCTACATTACTTTGGGGACTCCTGTCCCCCCCAGCCTCTTCTCCCCACCAGGCTGCTTGTGGGAATGAAGACCACTTGTTTGCCTTCTTGATCATGGGGAAAATCCTGGAGGCAATTTAAAATCCCGGGCAGACAATTCTCTAGTGCTCCACAGGTGGCATGTAAGGTAAAACAACTACAGCAACAATGGTGGTTCTTTTTCACTCTTCATCCTACCCACAAAGCTCTGCTTTTATTTAACTCTTCATAATCAAACCCTCTGATTCAAGACTCTGAAGCAACCTGAGAACTAAATCCACTGTGTGTAGAGACCCTCCTTCCCAACCACCCCCAGTCCCTATTGCCCAAGGTGATCATTTAAATCAACTCCGCCTGTTTAGGTTAGATCAGAAATCTAAACGACACAGCTCCATGTTCTGTTATTGCTTGTGAAACAACAAATTACATGTAAGCAAGTAGAGTGAGAGCTTGCCATGGGTTTGGTGACAATGATACAGACCTTGTCCTTGCCCATGAAGCGGTAGGTCCAGTGAGGAAGATGAACATGTAGTTTGAGCTCTGTAATGTAGTTGTCTTTTCTAGAGTCAGTAATTAATTCTAATCATACTCGGTTCTAATTATATCAAGCTAAGAGAGGACCAGAGATAAAATAGGGAAAGAAGAGGGGGACACCATTCTAGACCAGAGAAGGAAAAATAGGTTAGAGGCAACTTTTCCTTTTTATCTAGAATAATGGTTCTCACCGGAAGGCATTTTTGGCTCTTCAAGGGACATTTGACAATGTCTGGAAACATTTTTTGATTGCCATGACTTGAGAGGTGGGTAGTTGCTACTGGTATCGAGTGGGAAGAGACCAGGGATGCTGTCAAATATTTTACAAGGCACGAGATCTTATACAAAAATTATTCAGTCCAAGATGTCAATAGTGCCAAACTTGGAAAACCCTGATCTAGGTTTCCAGTATGAACAAAGAGTGCTGATGGGCCAAGTGTTGGCACCTCCTCTGACAGTAAACTGCCTGTAGCTATTCTATATGTGAATGAGCATCCTCCCCATTTCTAGGTTAGGAAGAAGAGGACCCTCCAGGGTGCAGCTTACAGAAATCCTCTTCTTCCTGAATACTTATCAAAGTAAACAGAGTTTACAAACACCCAAACAGCTTTATCCAGAGAAAGCAGTTAGAAATGACCCCAGGGCTTATGGTGAAAACATAAGGGGCTCTTGTTTCTCTTCTTTGGTCATAGCAGAAGGAAAGTATTTCTTTTCCTTCCCTCTGACCAGTTTCAGAAATGGATCCCTTGATTTTAAGAGGCCTCTAAATGAACCAGGAGAAAAATTAAGCTCTCTGTTCCTGTAAAGATTTAGAGTCTTTAGAACCCTATGTAGGGTCACTAAGGGTTGGTGGTAGTGGGTTTCTCCATTTCTCTTTTTATAAATCATCTGGGGTTCTACATATAATATGGGGCTGCCTCTGTCCTAATACTTCTGTGAAGGGTTAATTATAAAGCAAGCATCTTGATTTCTCAGTTTTAGGAGGCACCCAAGTTTCTAAATACAGCAACAGCAAGTTGCTATGTTACCTAGGAAATCACAGCACTTCTTCCTGATTTCTTTATCTGTGGAGTTTTATTCAAATAGTTACCTGTGTTAGACAATGAGGTAGGAGTTGGGAATATGAGACATAGACAAAGCCTTTTTAAAGGTGATACCAGGACTACAGATCTTAAATTTTAAAAATCAGTGCTTAATTTAAGGCAGAGCTATACTGACCAGGCACCATCTCTCTGAGTAAAGCAAAGAGCTGGTCTGAAATATTTTGGCAAGGTAGAACTGAGAGGTTGGGGAAGTTTTAGAGATCTAGATGGGTTGACTTCATCCTTATAAGTGGCTTTTGTGAGACTGTTGTTGATTGGTTGTTACTCCATTGGTGCCTATTGGAGTGAATCTATCCTTGGTGGCCTGCCTTTCAGAAATGAGAAGTTAACACTGATTGGTTGCCTTGAAAAAGCATGTTCTTTTAAATGAACAGTCCTAGATTGATGGAGCAGGTTTAAAACTGGTTCTGAACAATTCATCTTCCCACAGAACAATCACTCTTTCTCTAAGTACATGGGGATATTTTATTCTTAGGCCCCTTTTCTGGACCTTATTTTGCCAAAGATGCCAGAGAGACAGACCATGGATTGCCCAGAAATTCAAAACTGCTAATGATTCTCCACAGAGATGAAGTTTTACTTGGGCATATCTGATTTGATATTCACACTGCATGTTATTTAGCATGCTTTCATCTGTTCTCTTTGAACTATTGACTCATATTTCAAAATAGATTGAGACCCTGGATAATAGCATTGAAGAACTGTGAGACGGGTAAGTATAATTAGATGTGTTTTAAGAAGTGGCTGGAAGATCCCTGAGTTATGAACTAAGATTTCTAGGTCTGATTAAGAAAGCATATCTCGATGATTTCCTGAGTTTACCTCACCTATAACATTAATCCAGTACAACATGAAATGTTAAAAATATATATATATATTGGACTCCTCTCTGATTGGCTGAAAGAAAACCCACAGTTATTCTATTCCTCATGACTAGTTAGGTTAAGATATTTAAACTGCTCTGTTCTGCCTCAAGAACTTAAAAACTAGGGCAAGATATGACAAAATACCCATTTATAAACTATCAAGGGCTCATGCGGGAGGGGGGAGCGGGGAGGGAGGGGAAAAATGAGGACCTAATG